TATACATGATGGTAACACACATTATATTATTAATACACACAGATGCCTTGTAATTCCATCGCGCGGCGGCGGAACAAGAGACGCACGAGCAACCCAAAACTCTCTCCGTGTGTCCATCTCTGTGCGCTCGCGCTCGTCTTTATAGACTTCATTAGCCGGCGGCCACGAAAACTCGTTCCCCCTCCTCGCAAACATTCTTTCTCTTCTCCCCCCACCGTCGACCAACACACAGCGACAACCTCTCGTTACACACACACACACACACACACACACACACACACACACACACGTGTAAGATGAGGTTTTTAAACGATTGTAAAGATTTCGGACCAGATAGCCGCCGCCGCCACATGTGACACGGTCGATGCGGATAAAACCGCAGGCCCTCGTCCTCTCGGTGACCCCCATATTTTCAGAAAAGATTTCGTACGTGAAATTCCTTTTCTCCGGCTCGTAAAACGTTTTTAATTTTTGACATTCGTTATTCACCGGACAACAATAAAATAACGACGTACGCCTAAATGTACCTATAATGTAATGGTGCATCAGCAGGTATAAAATAATAATAATATATGGCTATATAATATTGGTACACACACCGCGTGGGTTCCGCCGGTGCTGCATATTATGTCGAAACTGTCCCTGCGGTTCGGTCGACCGGAAAAAAAAAAATTATATACAATAATATAATATAAAAATAAAAACCCGTCCCTTTCGATTTCCAATGTTTTCATTGTGCGCGTACATTATTATATATACTCGTATTATAGGTATGTATTATATATTATACGCGAGCGTTAGACCCATACACACACGCATTCACATATTATTATTAAAGGTAGGTTTAGGTATATACAATATAATATATATATATTTATGATTCGTATTATATACATATTATACAATGCGCCACGCAGTAATGTGTGCGCCGTTAACGGTACACGGCCGAAATCGTTCTCGCCGTTCGGTTTTTACCACAAAACACAATATATAATATAATATTATAAATCATTTTAACCCAACGCCAGAGATATACACCCCGAAAATTCTTTCACCCGTCACAGGGTCTCTATAATAACACTAAATAATATATAGGTATATAATATAATATATATAAATTGTGCGAGCATAGAAATATCGAACAATCGTGTTTTTATTGTCGACACTTGAAATATATTGCTTTTCTTTCGAGTGTTTTCTTTTTTCATTCTCTTGTTTCCAAAAAAAAAACGTTTAAGTATGTAATATTTAAAAATAATAAATAATATTTCTTTGTGCGTTCGTGTATAGTATTTTACGGTCAGACACGACCTGCAAAAGGCATTGTATTATATGCGATTAACATAACATAATATTATAATATAATATATTAATTACTATTATAATAAATAGGTACCTATAAAATATATAGGTACTTGCGGTATAAACAGGTATACCGCGAACTGCAGCTCGGTGTAATATCAATTACCCATTTATCGTTAAAATGATTTATCATTTATATTATGGTTATTTCAGTGTTTAATAAAATCAGTTTATTTATGCGTTGTTCCGTGTTCGCCATAATACAGTGGGAATATTATTCTTTTTAGTGTCTGAAAAATCGCATTCCGATTTTTAAACAACTAATAAGATTCCCGTTAGCGATGAATAATATATTGACTGCGAGGCGTTTTAAATGACATGATATATTGACCGTTCGTCGGTATTGAGCATAAAATATTTACAAATTATCGGCATGGTAATTTAATAATTACGGACGTATCTACTCGTGTATCGGTACACCGATTGGAAAAATTGCACGAGGAATTCGCAAGGGCTGTCGCCTACGCAATATAGGATATCGTCAGACACGTAGGCGGTAACCGCTTAACGTTTAATTTTTAGAAAAAAATTTATGAATTTTTTACCGGGTAATATTTATTCGGGTTCGTATTCAATTTTATGAACTGCAATATAATTTTTTTAATAAAATATACCAAGTGAACTCGAAGACGGAGAAAAACTAAATAATAAACATTAAACATAACCCACAGGTAGCAGTTAAATGTCATAATACAATTTCGTATAAATAAAATGTCATCTACTCGAAAGACAGAGTGTTTTCTAAAGTAAACGTGAGAATAATATGTAAATATAAATATCTACAACACATGTTAGCTTATATATAGATACTCGTAATGTATTCTAACAATATGTACTAAAATCGCAGGTAATGGGTTATTAAATAATAAAAAATGATTATAATAAATATAAAGTAGTCACATATTGCTTTAGATGCTTCAATTATTGTCCAATAACTATATTGGCTAAAAAAATAACATAATATGCTATTATGCTGAAAATTAATGTTTCAATCAATTCGAAAATATTAAAAATAAAAAACACATTTATTTAATAGTTATATTAACCAGGGGATAGTGACTGGCCCACCCGATCGTTTTTTTATTGTTCAAAAAAATATTATTCTCCAGATTCAACGTGTTACACAAATAGTCCGATAGATCGCGCTTCACGTATTAACGAGCGTTATTATTTTACTAAACAAAACTTGCAGCGAATACAATAATAATAATTAAAATGATTCAATTTTTATTTACGGACATCTATTCTGTAACAATTAAAATAATTAATATCGACTGTCATATTATATGGTGACTCGACTGTCAACTGAACAAATTATTGTGTACCTACTATTATATTATAACGTGAGGTCGTTTAATTGTTATCATCCACTCCGGTGCGTCAAATGCAGTGGTCAGCATCACGATAATAATAATAATAATAATAATATACTTGATGGCTGCACTAAAATGCCCACTCAAGCAAAATGTGGCCTTTGTTCGAGATAATTTGGCCAATTATAAAGGATGCTCTTTGCTCGACCTACAAATGGGCCAGGCTCACAATAAGACGTCCGAGTACAAGACCACAATCACCGAAGAAAACTTGACATAGTTTTATTTACGAGTCCTTTGAAACTCTTCCAGAATGTAATCTTTCTTCGCGTAAAGTCGCTCCAACCGCCGCAGTGGGTCTTAAAAACGACTACAGAGAAGTAGGTACCTTTATTAACATTTTGATGAGAAATATTTAACTTGGGTATTTATTTTCGAATCACAACAACAAAATAGAGAGGGTATAAAAAATAATTTATAAATTAAAATCATAACAACAATAATAAAATATGATATCGTTCACTGTATAATGCAATGTTAAGAATAATCGACCACCGTAAACCGTATAATATAATATTAAAATAATGCTGGAAACCTAACGTAGGTATATAGGTATACCATGATAATATTATACAGGTACCTATACGGCCATACATTATTATTATAATATTATTCATGTCTCGGGGCAAAGATTATTGGCGTGTTTGGTGAAAAAAATTATCTCTTGATATATTATTTAATTTTTTTGACGTCGTCGCGTGCGCGAAAAACGATAAAAAAAAATTATCCATCAGGTAGGTATGTGGCGTACGCCGTACCAGTTCGGTTAAGTAGGTATGTATTATGAAATTATAAAAACATTTTTAAAATAAAACAACGTACGTTTCGAACATACTGGTCAACCAATTCGTGACTGCGTACAATTTCTACTATGTGCACAACAAAATATATTATTTAAAACATTATTATATTATAATTTATAAGTAACACCTCTGCAATGCTACATTTAAATTGTATTTGGCGAAATAGTATGATATCGGGTCGAACAAAAATATTGTCACAAATTAGTGTAACATAGCTGCGGTAGACCTATACATAATATTATATGGAATTCAATCATTTCGTTCACGGGGTAAAATATTACTGCAGTTGTAACTTTACGCGCTATAAAATAGTAAAAAAAGAATAAGACTGACTTTGCATATAAATTAAAGTGTCTAATAGTGTCCAAACATTGAGTTACAAATAAATATGAATGACAAGAATGTTGGCCTGAAGTGACATAATAATTATGTGATATTATATTGTAATAAATATATTTTGTTTGCGTTTGTTATGTAAGAAAAAAAAAAGACTTCCCACGAGAAATACCTACAAGTGCGCTCCAAGTCTTGTATATTGTTATTGAAAAAAAAAAAACAATTAAAAAGAAAAATCGTTAAGAAAACAACGAAAAATCACTTTCGACTTTTGACATTCGAGGGCCGAAGCGGAAAAATCGCCGGAAAAACGATTGTGACACACAACGATTTCGTAATGAAAAACGATAATACGAGAGAGAAAAAACGTACCTACGTAATAACGTAACGTGCCTCCTAACAATCGGGCGGCGGCGGAGGAAAACGTTGGTCCGACTACCGTACGGTGTGCGGTGGCGGTGGCGGATAATCACAGGGTAACCGTAACCGGGTGCGGCCGCCGGGAAGGGGTCCGCCGCCGCCGCCGCCGGTGGACCGTCGCCGTCACGTGGCGCCCCCCGACGGCCGGCCGGCACGACTAGCGGACCACTCGGCGCGCGGGCCAGTGCGGCCGTGCCCGTGTCGCGTTCAGTCTCCGCCGTGAACCCGTTGCCGACAGTTCGACCGCGCACCGTCGTTCGGATTACGAGTCCGTTTTTATTATGTGAAAGTGTTCGCGCGCGCGGACGATCTGCTCTCGAGTGTTGCGATTTTTTTTTTCGGCTTTATATTATAATTTTTTTTTTTTTATAATACCGTCGTTAATTTTATCTCATCGGTACTCCGGCCCGACTACTGGCAGTACCGTAGTGTTTTTTTTTTTTTTGTAACTTAACAGTTTTTCCGTTGTTTCAAACTTAGTCGTCTCGAGTGCGCGCCTGTGCGTCCCGCGAGGCGAACAACGACCGCAGTCGTACTGTGATTCGCGACTATGTCGAATGCCCGACCGACGGGGTCGTACGCGAACCGTTCGGTTTTCTGACGAACGCCCGCCGCGATTTTTTTTTTGGAATAAAATATCGAGTTTCGAAAAAAAAAATTTTTTCCGTTCGATTTTCGAAAATTAACTAAAAAAAAAAAAAAAATAATGAGATTGTTTATTAAAATGAAACTGTTTTTGGTGGCCGCGATGTGCGCCGCGGCGGTCGCCAAACTCGATGGCGGTGTCGCGGCCGAACCGTGTACCTGGTCGTCGTACAACAACGACACGGCCAAGACGTCCGTACAGTGCCGGGTCCGGGCGTTGGCCATGGACAGCCCGAACTTCTCGTCCGTGCAGCCCGAGGGCACTGTCCGCCTGACGGTCGACTGCACCGACAAGCTGTTCTTGCAGAGCACGCTGGCGCCCCGCATGTTCCGGCCGCTGCACCAGCTCGAGGAGCTGGTGTTGGTCCGGTGCAAGCTGTTGGACATACCGGCGGACGCGTTCGACGGCCTGGGCGGGCTCAAGAAGCTCACCGTGCACACGTCCAACCTAGAATGGGGAGCCACCAAGACCATGGAACTGGCGCAGGGCAGCCTGGACCGGCTCACCGAGCTCCAGTCGCTCGACCTGTCCGAGTCGAACGTGCACACCGTGCCCGCCGACGCGTTCTGCGCCCTAAAAAACATTCAGCAGCTGAATGTGTCGCACAACGGTATCGAAGACCTTACCACGCTCGGGTTCTCCGGGCCCGACTGTCCCGGCGGCACCGACCTCAAAGTGCTCAACCTGTCGTGGAACAACCTACAATCGGTGCCCGCCCGCACCGCCATATCGGCCATGAAGCGGCTGCAGACGCTCGGCCTGCAGCACAACAGCATCACCGAGATCGCCGCCGACAGCCTGTCCACGCTGGCGTCGCTCAAAGTGTTCAACGCGTCCTATAACAAACTGGAGGCACTGCCGGAGTCGTTGTTCGCCAAAACCCGCGAACTGCGCGAGGTGCACCTGCAAAACAACGGACTGTACGAGCTGCCCCGCGGACTCTTCCACCGGCTCGAACAGATGGTTATTATAAATCTGAGCAACAACAAGATCAATCAGATCGACGAGGGACCGTTTGTCGGCCTCCTCCGGTTGGTCGTCCTGGACCTGTCCCGCAACGGACTGACCAGGATTAAGTCGAACGTCTTCAAGGACCTGGTGTTCTTGCAGATTTTGGACTTGAGCAACAACAGCATTAGCAGTATCGAGGAAAACGCGTTTCTTCCGCTGTACAACTTGCACACGCTCAACTTGGCCGAAAACCGGCTGCACACGATCGGATCGCGGCTTTTTAACGGCTTGTACGTGCTGTCCAAACTCACCATTAACAACAACTTGTTGATGACCATCGACGATCAGGCGTTTAAAAATTGTTCCGCTCTTAAAGAACTCGACCTCAGTTCAAATGCCATTCAACAGGTGCCGGCGGCGTTGAACGAATTATCATTCTTAAAAACGTTGGACTTGGGCGAAAATCAAATCAGCGTGTTCCACAACAACTCGTTCAAAAATATGGAATTACTGACCGGATTGCGACTTGTAGATAATTTTATCGGAAACCTGACTCAAGGCATGTTCTCTAATTTGCCCAACCTGCAGGTGTTGAATTTATCGAAAAATAAAATCTACAACATCGAACGAGGCACGTTCACTCAAAATAGCCAAATCCAAGCGATCAGACTGGACGCAAATTATTTAACGGACGTTAACGGAGTGTTCGAATCGCTGTCCAGTTTGCAGTGGATAAATTTGTCTAAAAATAATTTAATTTGGTTCGATTACGCGATGGTGCCGGCCAATCTCAAATGGCTGGACTTGCACGATAATTACGTGCAAGAACTGGGAGACTATTATAACCTGAAGGACCGATTGAATATAAACACAATTGACGCCAGTCACAATCACATAACCGAAATTTCGGAACGTTCGATACCGAACAGCGTGGAAGTATTATTTCTCAACAACAATTTCCTTTCGAACATCAGACCCAACACGTTTTTGAAAAAGAGAAATTTGGTGCGTGTGGACCTGTATGCCAACGAGTTGACGCGATTGGACGTGAACGCCCTGCGGTTGGGCGTTGTGCCTATCAACCGTTCGCTGCCGGAATTCTACATCGGTGGCAATCCGTTTGAGTGCGACTGTTCCATGGACTGGTTGCCCGCCGTCAACAACATGACCCAACTCAGGCAGAACCCCAAGGTCATGGACCTCGACAACGTGTTGTGCAAAACGACGGATTCCAGAGGCTCCGAGGTGGTTCCCATCTTGTCCGCCGGGCCGTCGCAGTTTTTGTGCAAGTACGACACCCACTGTTTTACCGTGTGCAAGTGCTGTGAATACGACGCGTGCGACTGCGAGATGACGTGCCCCAGCAATTGCACGTGCTACCACGATCAGACGTGGCACACGAACATCGTGGACTGTTCGTACCAGCTGAACAACCAAGTGCCGCCGAAACTGCCGATGGACGCTACGCACGTGTACCTGGACGGCAACAATTTCAACCAGTTGCAGGGCCACATATTCATCGGCCGCAAAAACATGGTGCACCTGTACCTGAACAACTCGAAAATCGAATCGCTCCAGAACCACACGTTCAACCGGCTCAGCTCGTTGCAGGTACTCCATCTGGAGGACAACATGCTCACCGAGTTGAAGGGCTACGAGTTCGAGCAGCTCTACCAGCTCAGGCAGCTGCACTTGCACAACAACCGTCTGTCGTACGTGAACAACATGACTTTCGCGCCGCTCCGGAACCTCGAGGTGCTCAAGCTGCACGGCAATTTGCTGAGCAACTTTAACGTGTGGCAGCTGTCCGTCAACCCGTACCTGGTACAGCTGTCGGTCGGCAAGAACCCGTGGTCGTGCCGCTGCAAGTTCCTGCAACCGTTCCGGAACTGGGTGTACGAGAACGGGCCGAAAATCAGCGACATGACTGACGTGACGTGCGTGCCGGACGAGTCGGACCCCGGCCAGAGGCGCGAGATCGACTTCAACGAAACGACGTGCAGCGACTTCTACACCGGCGGCTGGGCCCTGCGCAACATGATGACGTCCAGTTACGTGCCGTTACTCACGTTCCTGTTGGTCGTGTTCGTCGTGGCCCTGGTGCTCTTCGCCGTCCGGGACAACATCAAGGTGTGGCTGTACACCAAGTACGGCATACGGGTGTTCAGCTGCAAGAACTCTGGCAACAAGCACTTTTACGAGGATCGTGAGAAGCTGTACGACGGTTACGTGCTGTACAGCCCCAAGGACGAGGAGTTCGTCCTGCAGTCGGTGGTTGCCGAGCTCGAGCACGGCAACCCGTCGTACCAGCTGTGCCTGCACTACAGGGACCTGCCCATCACGTCCATGTACCACGCCGGTTCGTCGCCCGTGGTGATCGAAGCCGCGGAGGCGAGCCGCCGGGTGATCGTCGTCCTGTCCCGGAACTTCATACAGACCGAGTGGTCGCGATACGAGTTCCGCTCGGCGCTGCACGAGGCCCTCAAGGGCAAGGTGTACAAGCTGGTGCTAATCGAGGAGAACAGTATCGCGGCCCAGGCGGACGCCGACCCCGAGATCAGGCCTTACCTGAAGACGGCGTCCAAGGTGAGATGGGGCGAGAAACGGTTCTGGGAACGGCTCCGCTACTTGATGCCCAGCAACAACCACCACAACAACAACCATCACCACCACAAGGTGTGTAACTACCGGAACAACATAAACAACTATACCATCGACACCCGGACACCGGTGGTGCCGGCCCACCGACGGCAACCGCCGCCGTCGCCTCAGGACAAGGCGCCGCACCACCGGCCACACGGCCACCATCACCATCACCACCAACACCACCAGCAGCAGCAGCACAGCCCCGGGTCACTGCCCCGGCCACAGCACCGGCACGAGGACTCCAACTACTCGACGGCCACGACGGCCACACCGTCGCCGAAACTCGGGGGCGGCTGCGAGGACCGGCCCGCGTCCACCGAGCACATCTACTCGGCCATCGACACTCCGCCGCCGTCGGTGCACCAGTCGCCGAGCAGGATGATGCCGCCCGCGCACCAGTTCGAGCGCACCAACAGCCGGAGGTCTGCCAAGCACCATCAGCACCAGAACGCCGTGCAGGCTTACCTCGTCTGATGCGAAGACACCTCCACCTCGCAAGTCGTCGTCACCTCCAAATACTTCCACAGCGATGCGTATACCGCGAGAACCTATGATATTATCGCTGCGTGTCGCGGGTGATAATCTCGCGCAAACAGGTCAGTGTCACCGACGTACTGTACAATAATTATTATTATTATTATTTCATTATTATCGTAATATTATTATTATATTTGTATTTTTCGTTTGGTTTTGTTTCGTTTATCTGTAAACCGAACAAAGCATATATTATGTACGTATGTGCTCATCAATATGTGATAATGTTGTTTAAATAAGCACGACTTGTATGATTCATAGATTAATTGAGTTCCTAAGTGTAAGTTCTCCGGAACGCGCTGCGGTTAATTCCCTTTGAAACTTTCTTGTATTTTTTTTTTTTTTTTTTAATTATTATTATTTTTTACATTATAATATGTTCGTAATGATTATTTTACGACGGGCTGTGTCCGCCGTTTATATTGTGTAAATGTGATTTTAGGCGGGTTTTTAAACATTATATTATTATTATTGAATATATTATCATTATTATTGTGAAAAAACGGTTCGTACTAACTATTGAGAATCTAACGCCATTTTTCTAGTCAGCTCAAAAAAAAAAAAAAAAATTGTTTTTGAGCAACCAAATTTTGTGTGTTAAATTCATAAAAAAAAAAAAAATGTATTATCCTCTATTTGAGGCCCAGACTGATTATAAGTCTTCGTATCACTGTTGTTTGCTCCCCTCACCTCTTAACAATTTTCAATCGAAATGACATACATCGCGAGCGTTATTATTCTATTTCATTTTTCACGTGACGCAGAGCAATAATAATAAAATATTATTTTAAATTTATGACACATGATGTGGGATAATTAAAAACCTCCGTGGGTGTTGGTGTTTTTTTTCTCTTCATACATCGTAATAATAATAATAATAATAATAATAATAATAATAATACCGGTTCTAGGCTCTCATGTATTTTATTATATCTCTCCTTATTACTACACTCTCCTAGAGCGTTTATTCTGTTATTATTCCGACGTGTCCGAGTACGCTTTCGTACGAAACACACAGAGAATGAAAAAAATATATTTATTTATATACTTATATATTATATATATAAATGTATATTTTTTTTTCATTCAGTACACGGATTACCACTTAGTACTGCCGTTGCGTTATCTGAAATGGATTCGGCTTTTTATTTTGAGAGACAATATAAAACTATTATTTTTTTTTTTTATCTTTTAAACACAAAACAAGAATAATAAAAATAAGATAAATATAATAAATACACACCTTCTTATCCTCGAAAACAATAATTCCATTTCCATGTAAATGTATCGGCTTAATGTATGAACTGAACTGTGCTTGATTAACAGAGACTCCGACGCGTTTCATTCCGTGAACGTAAATATTACAAAATTGTCAGGAATGTTTTTACGAATTTTACACTCTACATGCGGTTTTAAATTGTTTTGGGGCGAGTGTAGTAACAGGGTAAGACAAACCGATAACAACTTGGTTGGATGTTTAAAAAAAAAACTAAAAAAAAAAAAAATATAATAATTTGGGGGATTTACATTTTGTTTCACTACTTGAACGAAGACTGTATGATATTTTTAATTAACCACAATTTTTTTTTTTTTATTTAAATATTGTTAACTTCGATTCTATTTTATTATTATTTGATTAAGAAATTATTTGTATATATTCGTGTACATCCCATTTTATTATGTAATGATATTAATATGTATAGACGTGTATTGTACTACGTTGAAAATAAATAATTTATTTTTTATTTTGAAAAAAAAAACACTTGTTATTATTATTTTTATTTCCATCGACACAGGTACACCACCTACCTCTATCTACATATTTTCTTTTTAACGGATAACGCACTGTACAGTGGAACCTCTGTATCTCGAAGGCTCCAAAAAATAAATTAATAAATACAATTTGACTTATCTAAATACAATTTGACTTAACTTCTAAGGCTTCCGATGTAATTAAAAACATACGGGACCGAAAAAAATTTTCGCTACACAGACAATTCGAGATACCGAGGTTCCACTGCAGTATAAATATATAATATGTGTAGGTATATTGCATGGTACATTATATTATTATTACGTTGTTCGCATACTTACATATATTATTAGATATTATAATAATATAATATTTTACTGCAGTTGTGCACGCGTTTGTGTACCACTTTTTGCAGTGTATACGAATCAAATGATATCGTAGGTACATATATATATATGCTGACCGGGAGAGATACACACTGCGAGTCACATGACGTCGTAGGAAAGCGAAAACATGAATAATGCATGGGGTTTTTTTCCCCCGGCCCTTTGCAAAGGCCGTCTGTCAGTCATGCAGTCAACAGAATATGTGCGTGTTCGGTCGACTAGACGGAATATTATTGTTCTGTCCCGTTTGCCGTTTGTGTGTGTGTGTCACTTGATGTATATATATATGCGTAAATAGATGGCGGGGATCTACCCCTGGAGCAGAAAAAAAATATATATATCGTAGTACACGTAGGTACGACGACCTATGCACATTGTACGCGTCCAGAAAGTGAAAACCGAAAGAGAGGGTCTCAACCCTTTTTTTTTTCTCGTCGACCGCCTGCAGGAAGAGCTCTCCGTCGTTATTGGTGTGCACGACAATATAATATGGTTCGCATGTTATAATAATTACTGTCGACGGCCGTTCTCCTAGCAATTTTTCGTACGTCGTCCAATAACGAATAAAATGGATGGCACAACGAGTGCAGGTGAGTATAATAATAATAATATAACGAAAAGATGAAAAATAATAAAAAAATATAATAAAACACTGGCCCGCGCCATCACGTGATGGCCGCCGCGATGGTTTTCGGTTCTCTTCTTCCGATCGAAACGTTTCGTATATGTATACGGTACGAATCGGCTGTACCTATAATATATAATATGCAAATCGAAATGCGTCCCACGCAAAAATCCGAAGCACATTAAAATAATATCCATCTGCAGACCCGACTTTGAAACGATCTTCGCATGCAATATAATATAAGCTCACAGATTTCTAGGCCAACGAGTGCGTCCAGCGAGACGATACCGTGGTAGGTGCAGTATACCTAGCTGGTATACGCGTCGATAGGTATTTTATGCACACGCCATAATAATAATAATAATATATTCGAATTTTCGATTTCCAACTCTATAAAGTACATAAAATTACATTCAATTATGTGTCCGCGTTCTCTCAGTCTATATAGATTTTTCTCTTTTTGTATATTTTAACTGGCAATACATAGTAATTATTATTATTATTATTATTATTATTATTAAATACAAAAATACCTATTATGATATTAATATTTATTTTCAAGAAAACAACGAGAGCGTAAATTATGGCAGCGTCGTCTACGTATGGATTCGTTAAGACCATATTATTTTTATGGCTTTAAAAGTATTCATTATTCGTATATATAGTCATTTTTCGTTTCCAGAGGATTTAATTTTAATAAAAATGTACACGAATGTAGTTTAAAATATTATAAAAACGCATTTATAGTTTGAAGTAGAAAAGTTCTTTTGAAATGGTAAAAACAAATTATTGATGAATAAATATATAAAAAAAAAAAATATAATACAATGCTATATATCGAAGCAAGAACATAATAATATTACAACTCTGTAGTTTTTTCACAAATGTTTTTAATAATTTAAATGTGTATAGGTAACGTATTGTACTTAAAGGTATATATATATTTAACTTGTGACTTGTAAGTACTTTGAACAAATCACCGACAAACAGATTATATATATATATATATACAGATAAATACATGATTATTTCCTTGGAAATACAATAACATATACCTAGGTAGATAATTACGTTTTTTTTTATTTTTTTAAATTTAGAAACCATCTCTCGCCGCCGGCCGTGTACGCGATTGATATACGACATATTTTGTTTAATTCATTCGATTCGCCTATGTTTTTTAATTGTCCGAAACTCTGAAATAGACCCAAAAATTGAATTTGAAAGTAGTTCCGAGATTAATCATTTTTTGTAGGTACGTTTTCCACGCTAATTTATTACTCTACGGGAGGCCCTGTATCAAATAGAATTGTTAAATTACTTTTACTGAATTCCATTAGTACATACAGAGATTATAATATACGCGTAACCGTTAAAAATAAAATGAAAAAATAAAAATAATAAGAATAATAGCGTATGATCTTGTCGTTCGGGAGACAAGTCAATTCACTATACTGCACACAACAATAATAATGTATAATAATACAAATAAAACGATGAAAATATATTATTGTACAACTCTCGATCGGTTCGATTGCACGCAGATCGTCTCCTACCTACCTGCAATACCGACAGAAACGAGTGGCCGACGACGACGACGAAATATCTGGAAAATTACACGTTCATTACTTGGTTTTTCTGACTAATTGCAGTGTTCTGTCGGTTAGATATAAAGTCGGTTTCATTCCCGACCACTCGTACCGTACAGGTAAGTATGCGCGACCGTTAAACTACGTCTTTACGGCGTGTTTTCGGTGTTTTTTTTTTTTTGTTTTTGTCTTATCATATGTGTATACACTTAATAATAATATATTCTAACGGAAGATTGACTGAAGCGGTGGACCGATTTCGTGCTTAAAAATGTCACCGCGGGTCGTCCTACACGAGCGGTCTCAGCCGCGTATCGAGTTACTTATTATTAAACTCGTTAGAGACCGTCGGCGGCGGCGTTGATGATACACTCTGCGGCGACCCAGTGCGATTTATGGACGAGTTTTGGGCGTTTAACGAGCTCGTCATGTGCCGGCCATGTGGACATCGTAAAAAAAAAAAACAACGAAATTTGGGTCGGCATGGAGGGGGGGAGGGGTGGCGGTGGAGTAGTATGGCGACGGGGGAGGAGGAGAAAAAAAAAACGTCACCGAATATACGACGACGTCTCCGAAGACTTATCTGCGAG